CACAGCCAAAAATAAAATAAATGAATACACAAATTTAAGGAAAAAAAAAAAAGAAAGCAAAGTAAAAGAGGGACTTCCCTGGAGGTCCAGTGGGTAAGACTCCATGCTCCCAATGCAGGGGGCCCGGGTTCGATCCCTGGTCACGGAACTAGATCTCTCATGCATGCTGCAACTGAAGTCCATATGCCACAACTAAGAAGTCCGCATGTCGAAACTAAAGATCCCACAGGCTGCAAGGAAGATTCCGCGTGCCACAGCTAAGACCTGGAACAGCCAAAATAAATCATAAATAAATAATAATTTTTAAAAAAGAAAGCAAAGTGAAAGAAAGTTACTAGCTGTTGATGTAACCTTGAAACAGCCTTGGTTGTATTAAAGAAAATGGAAGTAAATTACACAAAGAAAAAAAAAGCTGTCTTTGATATCAGGAGAGAACAACTTAAATTTTAAAAATCTGCATAATGGGAAAAACAAGTTGATTAAGTTATTAGCTACTAAAATGAGCTCTTAATGGATCCACCATCTTCTTCAGCCCTCCATTCACCTGTAAGAGGGGAGAAGCTCCTTCGCCTGCAGCCATCTGCAGGCCCTAGAGCACCCCAACCTCCCAATTTGACTTCAGCCAGAAGCACCCACCTTGGTAACTGCTGTATTCGCCGACACACTTATGAAAGATTTCCTCTGAACAAGGGGCTAAGGAGTGTGAAAATTGTTTCAGTAGGTTATCTCAAAGCTGAACTACAAAGGATTGAAGAAAATGTAAATGTTAGCTCTATGTGGCCCAGAGCATGCCTTTAGTAAATACGTCATCCAGATGAGCACAATAAAGCAAATACTGCAACAAACCAAGTCCCAGGAATGTTCTGGTTTCCCAGTGCATAGAAAAGTTACGTTTATACTATACTGTAGTCTATTAAGTGTGCAATAGCACTATGTCAAAAAAGTGTACATACCTCAACTTAAAAATACTTTATTGCTAAATATGCTAACCATCATCTGAGCCTTCAGTGAGTCATAATCTTTTCTGGTGGAGGGTCTTGCCTCCATGTTGATGGCTGCTGACTGATTAGGTTGGTGGTTGCTAAAGGCTGGGGTGGCTGTGAAAATTTCTTAAAGATAACAATGAAATTTGATGCACTGATTGACTCCTCCTTTCTAGGAATTATTTCTCTGTAGCATGCAGCGCTGTTTGATAGCATTTCACCCACAGTAGAACTTTTCTCAGAATTGGAGTCCCTCCTCCCAAACCCTGGTGCTGCTTTATCAATTAAGTTTATGTGATATTCTACATCCTTTGCTGCCACTTCAACAACCTTCACAGCATCTTCACCAGGAGCAGATTCCATCTCAAGAAACCACTTTCTTTGGCTCTTCCGTAAGAAGTTAACTCCAGATCCATTTAGCTTTATCATGAGATTGCAGCAATTCAGTCACATCTTCAGGCTCCACTTCTAATTCTAGTTCTCTTGCTATTTCCACATCTGCAGTGACTTCCTCCACGGAAGTCTTGAACCCCTTAAAGTCATCCATGAGGGTTTTAAGCAATGTCTCCCAAATGCTTTTATGTTGATATTTTGACCTTTCCCCATGAATCATGAATGCTCCTAATGGCATCTAGAATGGTGAATCCTTTCCATACGGTTTTTAATTGACTTTGCCCAGATCCACCTGAGGAATAACTATCAATGGCAGCTATGGCCTTACAAAATGTATTTCTTAAATAATAAGACTTGAAAATCGAAATGACTCCTTGATGCATGCGCTGCAGAATGGATGCTGTGTTAGCAGGCTAGAAAACAATATGAATCTCATTGTACATCTCCATCAGAGCTGGAGCATTGTCCATAAGCAGGAATATTTTGAAAGGAATCTTTTTTTTTTTTTGAGCAGTAGGTCTCAACAGTTGGCTTAAAATATTCAGTAAACCATATTGTAAACCGACGTGCTGTTATCAATGCTTTGTTGTTCCATTTGTGGAGCACAGGCAGAGTAGATTTAGCATAATTCTTGAAGATCCTAGGATTTGGGGAATGGTAAATAAGCATTGGCTTCAACTTAAAGTCACCAGCTGCATTAGCCCCTAACGAGAGAGTCAGCCTGTCTCTTGAAGATTTGAAGCCAGGCATTGATTTCTCTCTAAATATGAAAGTCCTAGATGGCAACTTCTTCCCATGTAAACCTGTTTCACCTACATTGAAAATCTGTTGTTTACTGCAGCCATCTTCATGAATAATCTTAGCTAGATCTTCTGGATGACATTCTGCAACTTCTACATTAGCACTTGCTGCTTAACCTTGCACATTTGTTAGGGAAATAACTTCTTCCTTAAACCTCATGGACAAATCTCTGCTAGCTTCAAACTTTTCTTCTACCACTGCCTCACCTCTCAGCCTCACAGAATTGAAGAGAGTTAGGGCCTTGCTCTGGATTAAAGGAATGTTGTGGGTAGTTTGATCTTCTATCCAGACCACTAAAACTTTCTCCATGTTAGCAATAAAGCTTTCTTATCTGTATGTTCCCTGGAGTAGCACTTTAAATTTCCTTCAAGAACTTTTCCTTTACATTCACAACTTGGCTGTTCGGCACAAGAGGTCTAGTGCGGGCCTATCTCAACTTTCAACATGCATTCCTCACGACTTAATCATTTCTAGCTTTTTGATTTAAAGTAAGAGATGTATGACTCTTCCTTTCTTTTGAACACTTAGAGGCCATCGTAGGGTTTTATATTTGCCTAGTTTCAATATTGCTGTGTCTCAGGGAATAGGGAGGTGGGAGGAGAGGGACAAAGACGGGGGAAGGGCTAGTCGGTGAAGCAGGCAGAGCACATACAACATTTATCAATTAAGTTCACTGTCGTATCTTATATGGGTATGGTTCACATCCCAAAAACAATAGTAAATTAAAAATCACTGATCACCATAACAAATACAATAATGAAGAAGTTTGAAATACTGTGAAAATACCAAAATGTAAAGAAGTGAGCAAAGGCTGTTGGAAAATTGGTGCTGATAAACTTGCTCAACACAGGGTTGCCACAAACCTTCAATTTGTTAAAAATACAGTATCTGCAAAGCACAACAAAGCAAAGTGCAATAAAACAAGGTATACCTACCTGTATTGACAAAGTTTAGGCTTTTTGGAACATTGGCCGTGGTTAAATTTATACTCTAGTGGTAAGCTTGTAGAGTGGTGTTGAAGATCAATCCAGATGCCAGTTTCTAGAGCTACCACCTTCTTCCCAACCACCAATCTTCATCCAGGAACAGTCATTGCCCTGGCCAGAGGCGAGTACATGTTGAAACTGAGGAATTCAGATGCTGAATATTGACTCAGTTAAAGATGCTACTAAAAAAGAGCCAGGATTCAATTAGAGGATATCCCTAGCTAAAGCTTAATAAAAGGAGATGGCTAGAAACCATGAAATATATATATATAAAACAGAATAAGTTTCACATGTTTTTGATTATTTGTTATCTCAGTACATGAAATGCACAATTCAGATGATGGGTAGCACTTCACTAATTCTGTCTATGCCTATCCATATTTCTTTTTCACTTCTACTAATAAGCTTCTAAAACTGATAATCCTTTGCTAAAATTAAGAAACCATAAATTTAGAAGCTAAAGGAGCCAGTTTGCTACTAAAGGATTTATCATATGTATCTAACTCCATGACTTCTTTTGGAACAATATACCCAATTTAATACAGGAGTTTAGTTTACATACCAACAGAGGTCAAAAAATTCAAGAATTCCTATCTATTCTTTCCATGAGAAAAATCTCTTTCTTCCTAATTAATCTATACAGACTATAATTTCTATCCAGTCTTTATTTCTAAATAAACAAAAATAAAAAACCAAACAAAAAACAAAATCTCACACATGAAAATCATGACCAAAGCAGACTTCAATAACTATGGGGGAAAAAAAAGAAAAAAAAACTATGGGGGAAAAACAGTAAGACTGATTGTACTAAAGGAGAAATTATCCTTTCGAACCCCCAATTTAGAGAAAGCATGTAGCATTCCTATAATAACTAAAATAAATACAAATGACATAAGATAATTCATTTTTTATTAAAAATTTGAGTCTAATTCTATTTAATTGGGAGTTTACTGGCAAAAACTCTCTAATAAACATAACTGAAAATATAGCTTGGGGCTATAACAGGAAGTTTTTTTATCAAAGTTAAATTTCAACCGATTCCACTTTGCTGTACACCTGAAACTAACACACTGCAAATCAACTGTACTCCAATAAAAATTTTTTAAAAATAAAAAATAAATTGCATTTAGTCTGGAAGCTTAGGGTAAGAACTTAGCTCATTGTATAGTTTGTGATTTTACCATGAAATATCACTTTAATTCAAATAAATTAGCAGTATTTGGCCTGTAGAGTATTTACGACATTTTCAAAATCCACAAAATGTTCATTTGGGCAACAGCTTTTAAGAAAGTAAAAATATTAAATTCTAAAGCCATAGAAGGTCAGGCTGGATGTATTTTAATTGTGGAGACAAAATTAATGAGATTTTAAACTATCAAATCTACATTTTTCCCTATGAACACAGTCTATATCTATTTCCTGAAAACTATTTTGGAGCTAGTCAACATCTGAAAATAGAAGTATTATTATTCCTATCTTGTTTTAATAAATCAATAATGTTACCTTAGTCAACAACATAGGTAACCTGTATTATGTCAGATATATAAAACTGATACAGAAATTATCTAAAAGCTTTGAAATAGTAAAACTGAAGGCTATATGCATTTGTAAATTAATACCTTTTGGTGGGGAGGAACTAAGGTACTTAAAGATACCATAACATCTTAAAATCTACAATGACAGGGAAAAACTACTAATACTAGCTTTTAAAACTCACAAGTTATAATAATGTAAAACAAATCTGCCATTTTAACTGATTTTCAATATGTTTATACATGTAATATAAATGACAAATATGTATAACACCATCTAAAAGAAAACAATGATGTACAAAATGTTTGTACTAAATAAAATTATTGCATTTAATGTCATTTTCTTGAAAACTGAAATTACCAGATCCCTAATGAATACCAGTTCAAGTTAAACGAAATGTGTGCCAATACCAGCTTCTGACAACAAAAATAAGAAGTTAAAGCTCTGCAAGTCTGTCTGATTTAGGTCAGGTAATCATGGAAACAAAAGAATATTTAAAATTATTTATTTTATCATTATGCACATTGAAGGAAAGCATTATAGACAGCAGAGTTCTTTCCCACCATAAAATTTACACCCATTTAATTAGCTAGAAACACTAGCTTGAAGAGGTACTGATATATTCCATTTGTAATAATTTATCTACAGCAAACAATTGTCTTACAGTTGGAACATGTTGAAGAAAACATTGTCTCACAAGTCTTTTGTGTTCTTTGAGTCTCAATCACCAAGAGTTCAAGGGACTTTGAGAGAATCCTGGTGTCCTGTATGGCCTGATGAATGCATCAAAATCAAGCGGAGTATTTGTATTCTGAAAATACTCTTAGCTCCATACAACTGTTGCTTGGGTTGTGGAGCTCATATTTCTCCCACTGGCACTATGCATCTGAAGGACATTTTGTTATGAAAGTTTCACACCAATTTTGTTTTGTTCCTTCTTCATTAGCCGCTGTGCTTCCTTTTCCATTTTCTTCCTTTGTTGTTCTGCTGCTCTCTTTTCTCTGTCTGCTATCTTCTGCTGCCTGAAAAGAAACATTCGTATTTTTACTTTTAGAAAACACTACACAGGTAAAATGGCAAATAAATTCCAGAAAGAAACAGCACTGTCCTTTTATTATCATCAAATTTAAGTTTAAAAAGTCTTCATTCTTCTCACTGCTTTGAAATTTCAAAGATTTTCAAAAACAGTATATATTTTTTTAATCTTTAGAACATGACTTACAAAATAAAAAAGGTATTATCTCTGGTTCAAAAATAAGTAAAATGGGGGCTTCCCTGGTGGCGCAGTGGTTGAGAGTCCGCCTGCCGATGCAGGGGACACGGGTTCGTGCCCCGGTCCGGGAAGATCCCACATGCCGCGGAGCGGCTGGGCCTGTGAGCCATGGCCGCTGAGCCTGCACGTCCGGAGCCTGTGCTCCGCAACGGGAGAGGCCACAACATAAGAGGCCCGCGTATGGCAAAAAAAAAAAAAAAAAAAGTAAAATGGGGCATTCAGGTTAAGTGAAATGTCCAAAATCATAAGATTAAGGTTAAGAACCCACATCTCCTGATCCCTCTTCTTCAGATTATTTTCACTAAAACACTACTTCCATTGGACCACACCTTCTTTTTGGTACCATTCAGAAAAGCCTGATATTTAGGATTAAATATTCTGTTATTATAATAGTTAAAAATAGTCAGCTAAAGTATGTCAAGAACACAGATGTACAGAGCACAAAGCAAAGAGAAAATGGAAACCTAAGACATGACTTCCAACTAGAAGCTAGAAATCTATTTAAAGATTTGACTAGCTCTACTAATGAAGGGGCAGAATGGTGGGTATTTACTAATTACACATTATGAAATACCTTCCCCCCAGTCCCTCCCTAACTCCACTGATCTAGAATCACTAAACCCCTCTATATTTATTGATTTTTTTTAAATTGAAGTAGAGTTGATTTACAATGTTCTGTTAATTTCCACTGTATGGTAAAGTGATTCATTTATGCATATATATACATTTTTTAAAATATTCTTTTCAATTATGGTTTATCACAGGATATTGAATATAGTCTGTATACTATACAGTCGGACCTTGTCATTTATCCGTTCTATATATGGTAGTTTGTATCTGCTAACCTCCAAGTCTCAATCCACCCCCACCCCCGCCCGGCAACCACAAGTCTGTTCTCTATGTCTGTGAGTCTGTTTCTGTTTCGTAGATAGGTTCATTTGTGTCATATTTTAGATTCCACATCTAAGTGCTCTATCTTATTGATTTGTATGGGAAGTGGGAGTAGGAGTGTGGTGATGAAATAGGAGAAAGAAGAACAGAAGTTGGTCCTGGGTCTGAAGGTTCAGGATATGAGAAAGTAAGTCAAGAAGCACACAAGGCTGAGGAAGGAAGCTGTAGGGCACAGCTGGGCAGCAGATAGGCAACACTGGATTATATAGAGAAAAATCTAGTGTGGATTACCCATATATGGGACAGCTCAAAGCTGCTATAGTGAGTGAAATGTATATACACTTCTCAATCATACTTACAAATGGGAGTAAGCAGAGGTATGGATGACCAAAATTCAAGAAAGTAGAGAGCCTTAGTTTGGGCAACATTTTGACCGTCACCATCAATTAACTAAAATTTCAAAAGAATAGTTTTAAAAAATCTACTTTTCACTAGCTCTGCTCACTTTCAAGAAAAACTGATATCTGCACTAAAAACGTCAAAATGTCTGTGGCAAAAAAAGAAAGAGAAAAAGAATTAAAAAGGGCTGGCTAGGTTACAAACGTAAGATAATCGAGCTTTGACCTAGTTACTAGCTGATATATAAACATCAACAATTAATATTTCTGGTACAAGAGGCAACTTAGACATTAATGCAGACAAAATATATTTTTCCTGTCCAGATACATGTCTGGAATCACTAAGGTACCAGAATCTTTTTCCTTAATGATACTGATCATAGTACTGGCAGTATTTAAAGTGGCAATGGGGAACAGGCTAGGTTAGAGGCTATGGATTATGGATACACTTTTAAAATTCTCAGTGTTATCCTGAGGGCGGTAACAACATATGGAAGTGTTTTTGGCTCTACTTATGCAACCTGAAGCAAGAAACATGTCTATTACTGACTAATAGGCTCCCTCTCCCAAGCTGTCATATCAAAAGCACTAAGTTTGAGTTTTTTGGTTTTGTTTTGTTCAGGGTGCAAGAAGATAGGGTGAAAAAGAAAAGGTTTTTGTACAGTGAATGTTCAGCTACTTGTGAACTCATAAACTCTACAGTGTTGGCATTATGATTACTGGATTCAAAATGAATAGCTCCTTCCTTTATCATCCTTGTGGTTGATGACACCGATCATCACTAGAATCCCCAAAATGTTCTAAAATACCCAGACTTCTGTATCTATGATTTACCCAAAAGAAACAGAGTAAAAAATAAAAAATGAAAAAATAAGTGACACCTTTTTTGAAATCCATGCAACATAAATGTTTACAATTTTAAAACTATTTCCTTTGTACTGAATAATTATCAAGCAGGAACTAAATATTTAAAACTCTCACAAATTTACTAATGTGACCCCTTCCTGTTTAAAAAAAAAAAATGCTGAAAACAGTAAGGACAAGATCAAAAAAAGGTCAGCCTTAACTCCCAGTTATTTAACTACACCCTCTGCTGGTTGTTCAAGGTAATTATAATTTATTGGTAAAGACAGGAAAGGACAACACAAAAATGAAATCAGTTGTTTCATTAAGATAGTCAAATAAAGAGTAATTCATTTTCTATCCCAATTATAAAAGCCATATTTGAAAAAAACACATTGCTATATTTTACTTTATCATCTTGAAAAATGCAAAAGTAATTTAGATACATTTACATATCTGAGTTTTCATCAGTGATGACAGTCACAGACTCTCTCAAGGTAAATTTTCTTTTTGACCTAATGTGGTAGTAGCAAGAATTAAGTTACTGCTCACAAAAACAAAAAAATAAGAACATAACCAACAAAAACAAACTTGAAAACCTCCAGAATAATATTTTCTGTAGAGCAGGCAGTAAGTATATGACTTATGTCATCTACCTCAGGGCTTTCAAGTACATAAATTGAAGTACACATACAAATGTAGAGTACAACACAAGTTATTTTCAAATAGCAGTGCTATTCACTGCTCTATTCAAATGAGCAGTGCTGGCACTATGCCAGACCACGGGGAAACAAAACTAAAGGTATAACTTCTGACCTAGAGAACATACATTGTTGTGACTCACATTTCACGGCAGGACATTTCAAGAGATAAATATATTTTATAGGGAATGAAGTATAAAGCATATAGTTCAATATGGTGCATATATGTAAAAGGTTTCATTCTCCATTAATAAATTATTCTTTTGTACTATATTGCTTTAAATAGTTGGTTTCTGTGAGGTTTTAATCATATAAAATAGCATATGTAGTCTGAAATACAAAAAAAAACTATCCCATATTATCAAGGTTCAAATGAGAATGACGAAAAATACAACATTTGGCAGAATAAGCTTTCTTGACCTTAAATGCGACATGAACAAAACCAGTTCTTCTACTCAGGCTGCAAATATTACTCAAATACCTCAGAACTTCTTCGGCTTGCCAGGCCGCATCTTCTTCTTCTTCCCATGCATTGGTATTTTCCTGCCAGGTATCCAAGTCACCTAATTCAGGCTACAATAAAACAAAACAAAGCAAAATTACAATGGTCAAGAGCCATCCTTTTTCCACTCAGTGGTCAAGACAGTATTTTTGTTTAAAAGAATTATTTATTTATTTATTTATTTATTTATTTTGGCTGTGTTGGGTCTTCATTGCTGCGCACGCGACTTTCTTAGTTGCAGTGAGCGGGGACCACTCTTTGTTGCGATGCGTGGGCTTCTCATTGTGGTGACTTCTCCTGTTGCGAAGCACGGGCTCTAGGTGCGTGGGCTTCAGTAGTTGTTGCTCGCGGGTTCTACAGCACAGGCTCAGCAGTTGTGGTGCACGGGCTTAGCTGCTCTGTGGCATGTGAGATCTTCCCGGACCAGGGCTCGAACCCATGTGCCCTGCATTGGGAGGCGGATTCTTAACCACTGCGCAACCAGGGAAGCCCAAGAAGAGTATCTTTTAAAGCATAACTCAGACCTTGTCATTGCCCTGTATCTTCTCCACTTTCTTAACACATCCTATATAGGCTCAAATGATTGCCCCTGGTTTGCCTGGAACTGAGGGATTTCCTGAGACGCATGACCTTCCACACTCAACAGTCCTGGCAAGTCCAGGTTTCTTCCTATTTTATGTTTTAAATGATACTCCTTTTATATTAATTTTTCTTTTTTTGCCTACTTTAGTTTGGAATAGACAAGAATAGAACATTTGTTCTCTCTGTTATCTCTCTTTTCAATAAGAAGAAGGAGTGGGGGGTGGAGGAAATAGAAGAGACAGACTGATCCCAGGCTGGATTAGAGATGCTTGACCGGACTACTCTGTGCTGGGGAGATGAACTGGAAGAACCAACGTCTCCAAACTAGCATAGTCATCTCCATTTAAGCACAAGTAATTTTCTAGATTTTTCAGTGGCAGTTACTGTCTGGGTCCCAGGCAAAAATGACAAGTCAGGCAAAATTTACTCTTTATTGGAGTACTTCTTCTATATCGTGCTTCCTTTTGCCTGTCTTACTTACTTGATACCATCAGGCTGGCCACACTACCTTCTACTATTCCCCAGGCCAGACCTCTAAAAGTTCACTTTTTCCTTCCACAAACAATGAAAATGCTCATTCTAGAATGTTAAGTTGGTGGGGAAATAATTACATGCATAAAATAACTGGTACCAAGCTGTGAACAGATTTATTATATTCTCTTTTGAGTACTTAGACCTAAAACCGAAATAAAAAGTGTTGAATTTTCTGCTCTTAACCATAAATGAGATAAAATCCACTGTTAAAAAATTTTTTTAAAAATTTCTGATTGTATGTTTAATGTAAATTTCTAAAAGTAAACTAGCTAAATCAAAGAAAAGGATTTTCAAAGTCACTGAATGACTCTCTTGAAAAGTTATACCAACTTATTCTCCTGACAGCAGTAGGTGGAAGTCTTTTTTCCTTGTATTTTTGTCAATACGAGTAGGTAATTGCCGCCTTTTCTATCTTTGCTAATATGTTAAGATTTTAAATGGTGTCTTGTTAATTTACTTTGAATTTCTTTGAGAACTAATAAGATCAAACTTTTCTTCATGTTATCAGGTATGTCTATTTCTTATTTGTAAATTTATCCATTTTTCCACTGAGGTGTTTGACTTTTAGTGTATAAAACATTTAGATACAAAAAGGTGAAATGACTATGACCATAAAAAAAAGAGTAACTGATCCTTTAGTAGAGACGGTCTTCTAAGTAAAAAAGAAGTTTTAATTAACAGATTTGCTACATTAAAAACTAAATACATCTGCCCATCAAAAACATCCAAACTAAATTATAAAGCCGATAATAAAGTGAAAATTGTAAACGATGACAGAAAAGAGTTAATATCCTTAGTATAAAAAGAGCTATCACAGAATTAGGAATTCTGTGGATTCCTAATCCACAGAAACTATGAGATAAAAAAATATTTATTGTTGTTCAAGCCACTAAGTGTGGGGTTGTTATACAACAATGGATAACTAATGTAATCAAGCAGTCAATAATTACTAATCAATAATTAATCAATCAAAACATACTTAAAAGCTAGGGTCTGGGGAGGGGTCTGGACAGTGATGTGTTTTAAAAAGTTCAAAGGGACAATCATTGACAAGAAGACACTGGAACTCACCAAAAAAGATACCCCACATCCAAAGACAAAGGAGAAGTCACAATGAGACGGTAGGAGGGGCGCAATCACAGTAAAATCAAATCCCGTAACTGCTGGCTGGGTGACTCACAGACCGAAGAACACTTATACCACAGAAGTCCACCCACTGGAGTGAAGGTTCTGAGCCCCACGTCAGGCTTCCCAACCTGGGGGTCCGGCAACAGGAGAAGGAACTCCTAGAGAATCAGACTTTGAAGACTAGTGGGATCTGATTACAGGACTTTGACGGGACTGGGGGAAACAGAGACTGCACTCTTGGAGGGCACACACAAAGTAGTGTGTGCATCGGGACACAGGGGAAGGAGCAGTGAACCCAGGGGAGACTGAACCAGACCTACCTGCTAGTGTTGGAGGGTCTCCTGCAGAGGTGGCGGGAGGCTGTGTGTCACCGTGGGGACAAGGACATTGGCAGCAGAAGTTCTGGGAAGTACTCCTTGGCGTGAACCCTCCAAGAGTCTGTCATTAGCCCCACCAAAGAGCCCAGGTAGGCTCCAGTGTTGGGTTGCCTCAGGCCAAAAAACCAACAGGGAGGGAACCCAGCCACACCCTTCAACAGTCAAGTGGATTAAAGTTTTACTGAGCTCTGCCCACCAAAGCAACAGTCAGCTCTACCCACCACCAGTCCCTCCCATCAAAAAACTTACACAAGCCTCTTAGATAGCCTCATCCACCAGAGGGCAGACAGCAGAAGCAAGAAGAACTACAATCCTGCAGCCTGTGGAACAAAAACACATTCACAGAGACAAGATGAAAAGGCAGAGGGCTATGTACCAGATGAAGGAACAAGATAAACCCCCAGAAAAATGACTAAATGAAGTGGAGATAGGCAACCTTCCAGAAAAAGGATTCAGAATAATGATAGTGAAGATGATCCAGGACCTCAGAAAAAGAATGGAGGCAAAGATCGAGAAGGTGCAAGAAATGTTTAACAAAGACCTAGAAGAATTAAAGAACAAACAAACAGAGATGAACAATACAATAACTGAAATGAAAACTACACTAGAAGGAATCAATAGCAGAATAACTGAGGCAGAAGAACCGATAAGTGAGCTGGAAGACAGAATGGTGGAATTCACTGCTGTGGAACAGAATAAAGAAAAGAGAATGAAAAGAAATGATGACAGCCTGAGACCTCTGGGACAACATTAAACACAACAACATTCACATTATAGGGTTCCCAGAAGGAGAAGAGAGAGAGAAAGGACCAAAGAAAATATTTGAAGAGATTATAGTCGAAAACTTCCCTAACATGGGAAAGGAAATAGACACCCAAGTCCAGGAAGCGCAGAGAGTCCCATACAGGATAAACCAAAGGAGAAGCACACCAAGACACATAGTAAGCAAATTGGCAAAAATTAAAGACAAAGAAAAATTATTGCAAGCAGCAAGGGAAAAATGACAAAATAACCTACAAGGGAACTCCCATAAGGTTAACAGCTGATTTCTCAGCAGAAACTCTACAAGCCAGAAGACAGTGGCATGATATACTTAAAGTGATGAAAGGGAAGAACCTACAACCAAGATTACTCTACCTGGCAAGGATCTCATTCAGATTCGATGGAGAAATCAAAAGCTTTACAGACAAGCAAAAGCTAAGAGAATTCAGCACCACCAAACCAGCTCTACAACAAATGCTAAAGGAACTTCTCTAAGTGGGAAACACAAGAGAAGAAAAGGACCTACAAAAACAAACCCAAAACAATTAAGAAAATGGTCATAGGAACATACATATCGATAATTACCTTAAATGTGAATGGATTAAATGCTCCAACCAAAAGACACAGGCTTGCTGAATGGATACAAAAACAAGACCCATCTATATGCTGTCTACAAGAGACCCACTTCAGACCTAGGGACACATACAGACTGAAAAGTGAGGGGATGGAAAAAGATATTCCATGCAAATGGAAATCAAAAGAAAGCTGGAGTAACAATACTCATATCAGATAAAATAGACATTAAAATAAAGAATGTTACAAGAGACAAGGAAGAACACTACATAATGATCGAAGGATCAATCCAAGAAGAAGATATCACAATTATAAATATATATGTACCCAACATAGGAGCACCTCAATACATAAGGCAACTGCTAACAGCTATTAAAGAGGAAATCGACAGTAACACAATAATAGTGGGGGTCTTAAACACTTCACTTACACCAATGGACAGATCATCCAAAATGAAAATAAATAAGGAAACAGAAGCTTTAAATGACACAACAGACCAGATAGATTTAATTGATATTTATAGGACATTGCATCCAAAAATAGCAGATTACACTTTCTTCTCAAGTGCACACGGAACATTCTCCAGGATAGACCACATCTTGGGTCACAAATCAAGCCTCAGAAAATTTAAGAAAATTGAAATCATATCAAGCATCTTTTCTGACCACAACGCTATGAGATTAGAAATGAATTACAGGGAAAAAAATGTAAAAAAACACAAACACATGGAGGCTAAACAATACGTTACTAAATAACCAAGAGGTCACTGAAGAAATCAAAGAGAAAATCAAAAAATACCTAGAGACAAATGACAATGAAAACACGACAATCCAAAACCTATGGGATGCAGCAAAAGCAGTTCTAAGAGGGAAGTTTATACCTATACAAGTCTACCTCAAGAAACAAGAAAAATCTCAAATAAACAATCTAACCTTACACCTAAAGGAACTAGAGAAAGAAGAACAAACAAAACCCAAAGTGAGCAGAAGGAAAGAAATCATAAAGATCGGAGCAAAAATAAATGAAATAGAAACAAAGAAAACAATAGCAAAGATCAATAAAACTAAAAGCTGATTCTTTGAGAAGATAAACAAAATTGATAAACCATTAGCCAG